TGGAGGGAGTGAAGGGAGGGCTAGGAATGGAGAAAAAAGAAGACCCAAGATGCATCATGTAAAGGTACAATTCCCAATGAGAAATGCAATTGTGTTGCGTACCTAAAATGTACCAATAAAAGAATTTAAGAAAAAAACCTGTCATAGCTTATGAATAATAGTATACTACTATAGATATCATACTATACTTCTCAGTGGACATAACAGTACTTATGAATAGCACCAGTGGATTATCTGTATGATCCCATGCATCTTGCTTTGCTTTTATTATAACCTTGTGTGGTAAGATTATCATCCCATATCACATTGAGAGACATGAAATTGGGGTTTTTGGACTGCCCAACAATATACAGTGAGTTAAACATAAACAATCACAAAGATATTTTAAATTGTGTCATGTTAAGACCCAAATTGCATGCTTGAAGCTAATTTTGCCCAAATTTTGACCTAAAGAGACATGAATTTTTAGTTCTTCTTTTCTAGATGAGAAAATATACGACAACAGAGTTTAGATTCTACAGGGTAAATAAACAAGATGATGATGACATCAGAATCATGGTGAACTCAGTTCCTGCCTCTCACAATGAGCCACATTTTGAGCCATAATGAAAAGGAAATAAATGGCCTTGACCAACAGGGCAGCAATTTCAGCATCAGATGCTGATGAGGGTACATGAAAATTCAGTAGTTCGTACCAGTGTGGAGGTGTGCTATTGTGGAATGCAAAGAAGAAGAAATAACGACACTTATCACATTAAGAAAACATTGAGAAGAGACCCAAATTAACTTAACTTGCAACTTTATAAGCTTTGAAATATTAGACAATAAGGAAATAATTCCCTCTTTTAAATATCATCTCATGCAGTGTTTCTCTCCAACCTTCCTCCTGCAGGATGTTTGTGGAATGGAGCCAAAGGAAAGAAAAATGGTAAAAATCCTTTCTCTCAAAAGTTTTTCAAGGTGCTATACCTCAAGCCTTTGCACAGACCATCTGTGACCCTCTGAGCCAGATAAGACAGAATAGCCAGCTTCCTCGTTGGCCTAGATGGGGAGGGTGACAACACCTGTCCCTCTGTGGACAGGCGGGAGCCTCACTGGAGACAGGTGACCACCACTGCTTTCTGGGGCCCTCTGGAGGAGTCTCCAACCCTCCTCCCTCAAATATGTCTTGTTTAATCCTTGCTATCCCTCCAACAAAGGATAAGGTAAAGATAAGGCTTAAGCACAAACACCTTTGGGCAAGAGTGTGTTCGCTTTAGTTCCTATGAAAGCTTAAACAGCTGATGCTAGATTCCATTTGAGATCAGGTTTTCAGCACTGTTCACCTGGAAAGAATAGATGAAGGAATGATGGAAGAATTAAGAGGAAGGCACAGCAAGGGGATCCTGGGCATGGGAGAGATGCTCTACTGACCTTCCACTGACTCATAGCTCATCCTCATTAGCTGCTGGGTTTCCTACCAGTCTAATGAAACCACTTAGAGCTTCCTGACTGAGAGAATGAACTCTGCCTCTCTCATGACTGTCGGGAGCCTAGTGCATGCTTCCAGGAGTAAACTTTCCAACCACACCATGTTGGGATGTTAAGAATGAGTTACCAAGTGCTCCCAGTAGTGCCAGTCTGGGCTCTCCTGCTTGCTACACCACTGGCGCTCTCTTAGAATTCAAGCACGTGTCTCAAATGCATGCCTACAGGAAGTGGGAGCCTCATCCTCAATCCTACTCTTAATCCTATTCTCTTGGGTCTCTCCACCCCCTCAGTGATTCCAGATGTTAAAAGAGATTTATCCGGAGAGCCTGGAGTTAGGAGTCAGCAAATGGAGAGATGCTTATCATCAAAGAAAATAGAGAATAAAAGTGTCTCTTCCTTAGAACTCACTGTCTCATCTCTCTTCTCCTCCCTCAGTTCAGTCTCCTGTTACCCTCCTCAAACACAGATCAGAACAGATGTCCCCTGCTGCAGTCACTGCCTCATTTTTGGCTCTTGCAGAGACCTCCAAAGTGAGTAGTGACACCATTTGGAGTGAAGGCTTGTTCCAAAGTCCAAGACGGGGATAGAACTGAAAACATGCAAAGATTCATTTTTATTTATTTTTATCCCCAATTTTAAAAAAGCTCTACTGCTTGTGTATTGTTTATAACGAGGATAATGTGTAAGTAGCTGATATATGTATGGCCTTTGTAAATTAAAAAGTTATATATCTATTGGGGAGAATTTAAAATTTTTATTGATGGGGTAAAGATCAAAGGAATTCAGTGACCAAATTGATTCCGGGATAACATTTAACCCCTTCAGCTTAGTCAGGAAGATCCTATCTAACCCTCTGTTGCTGATGTTTTCAGCCTCATGGGCCCTAAGACATCTGATATGTGCTCTGAACACACCAAGCACTTCAGTCATTTTGCTCACGTGACTCATATCTCTGCATTGTCTCACCTCTCCCACCTCCAAGCCCTTCTCTGCTTAGTCCAAACATCACCCAACCTTTCCTGCCCAACATTTCATTCATATCTTTACCAAGTACCACCAAAGATGTTGCCTTATAATTGTTTTCCCTGTTGTTTATTCACAGAGTGCACCTTAAGTTCCTTGGGCAAATTTCAAGTTCCTGAAGGAGACACATTGTGTTCTTCTTGATTTCCCATGAATTTGGGTATTGCCTGACCTTAAGTCAATGTGCCCTGAATGTTGATTTCTTATTATCTTTTGAGAAGAGGATTAAAAAGTGCAAGTTGCAAAACATTCACGCCTGCTGTGTTGATCAGTATACTGATGATATACTTTAAAATATCAGTCACTCTTGTAGTTCGGGTCTGGGTGTCCCCATAAAGCCTCATGTGGTCATAGGTGGGTGAATCTAGAGTGTATGATTCTAGGATTAAGGGCATGTGATTACTAAACCACTACATGTGAGTACTTGGTTTGGCACTTCCCTAATCCTGGTAGTCTGAATAAAAGGGGCAGAAAGATGCTGTTAAGTAATCTTGTTGCTTTTGCTGCTTCCATCACCATGAACTGTTGCCCCTCTGCCACCCTGCCTTGGAGCCAGCTGATTATGGACTGAAACCTCTACACACTGTAAGCCAAATAAACCTTTCCCTCTCTAACTTTGGGTGTTGGATATTTTGACTCAGCAATAAGTCTTCCTTTGCATTGTAGCCTAGCGCCATTAGGGAGAGAGGGTGTTCTTGGTTCTACACAGTTATGCAGAGACTTGAGCTTTTGTCTATAGTTCTGTCATTTTCAGGGCCCTGGGATCCTTCACAGAACCTGCCACTACATTCCATTGGAACTCAGTTACATAGAAAGGAAGTCCAGCACTGTTCTGAGAAGGAAGAGAACATGGGTACTGGTGGGTACCAGATGTCTCTAAAGTACCCAGTTGATAAGGCGCAACAATTGACCTTCTGGAACCATGACAAAAACTCACTGTCAATGCATCTAAAATAGTAAAGCAAGATGCGGAAAACTATGTATAATTATTATATCTTTGAGTCTTTAACTCACCTAACCTGTTTAAAACTAGAGCTACTATCCCAAATCAGTTTAAATGGTGTTTTTCTATTTCAGCTTAAGAAATCTCAATAGTAATGAATACTAGCAACTAGGTGTATGAAAGCAAAGATTTGTGAATTAGCAGGTATGGACATCAGTTACTTCACAACAAATTCCACACAGATTCCTTTTCAATCTAGGATTACTCCCAACATATTTATACTCGGCTCCAAAAGGAACATCTCAAACTGGACAAGTTCTGTTTATGAGAAGATATTACTAATGAGGAGATACTGCGTCTGTGGGAGGACAGAATTTGGACCATTTGCCCAAAACAGACTTGAAATGTCTTTAATAATGATATTTTGAATTCTATAATCTAAACACAGAAGACAAAAAATATAATTGTAGAAAAATCTAGTGACATTCTCTAAATCTTTGCAGCAATTAATAATCAAATGTGATTTAAAATTTTAATTCAGAGGGCTGGGGATTTAGCTCAGTGTTTCTGGCGCCTGCCTCAAAAATGCAAGGACCCAAGTTCAATCCCCGGTACCAAAAAAAAATTTTTCTTTAATTCAGAAGGAGTTTAACTTGAAACCAGAAGTGATTTTTATTTTAAAAGTGGAAAAACTGGGGGAAGAGAACCAAGTGAAGAAATTGGGAAACTATGAGGGAGAGAAATTAATGAGGTACTTCAGCAAGAAGTAGATTGTCTCAAATATAAATCTGAGCTGTGGTTCTGAGGGGGGCGGGGAATGGGAAAAAGCCAGGGTCTGAGCACCCTAAGGGACACTTGAAAGCTGGGACTTGAAGAGCAAGCAAGGATGTCTCACCAATGCAGTCCCCAAAGTGTGGCCTGTAAAACTCCTCAAAGACTCTGAGGAGGTGAAAATGAAGGTTCTTCCAGTAAAGGAGACAATTTGGAATTCTAATAGTATCCCATGAAGCAAGGGAATTTGTCTATTTTCTGTTACAATAATGAAATACCTGAGATTGGGTACTTATAAAGAAGAAATGGTGTTTAAAAACAATTTTTGGGTACCAGGGATCGAACTCAGGTCCTTGCGCTTGCGGGGCAGGCTGCAGAACCACTGAGCTAAATCCCCAGCCCCCAAAACGGTTATTTTATTCAAAGTTTAGGAGACTGAAAAATCAAAACGTCATGATGCTGGCACTGGCTCTAGTGAGGTCCTCATGGCAGGTGTCAATATGGTGGGAGCTTGTGGGAGAGAGAGATTACATAGTGAGACAGAAAGCCAGAGTTCATTCTTTTATAATAAGCCTCTCACAAGAACTAATCAGGGTCCCACAAGAACAGCAAAAATTCCTTCTGAGGACAGTCCCCTCAATGACCCATTCATTTCCCACTAGGTCCCATCCCTTAAAGGTCCTACCACCTCTAAATGTCTCCACACTGTGGACCAAGCTGCCAGCACATGTACCCTTGAGGGATAAACCACATCCAACCTTAGCAATGAGACAAGTCTGTGCACGATCAGAGTTCGGTTAACAACGTGGTGCCCAGTATTTGGCTGAGACTAAGAGGAATAAGGTGGTTGTGTTCACAGAAGCTTCTCCAGGGCAGTCACTGTCCCCCCTACCATGTCCTTTTCTAATAATGCTCCCTGATTGTTATTTGCAAAACCAGCCTTCTGCCCTCCCAGTCCATCATTCCAGTGTGGCTGATCCTATTCATTGGTCCCAGAACTGAGCAAGTGGCTCAGTGCATTTTTGTCTGTTAGTATTGGGAAAGAGATTTTCCCCATCTGGGTGTTACTCAGCTGATGGATGGTAAGCCTGATCTATATTGTCTCTAGGAGATGTGAGCTTGTCTGAGAACGAAGCCCACCCAGGAGAGAGAAGAACTAAGAAATGAGACATCTCTGACAACCTCTTTTAAGGAGCTGTCTCAAGTCACTCGAAATTCTTCCTTGATTTTTCACACATGTGAGTCAAGTCTTTTATTTTTCCACTCAAGATAGTCTGAATAGGATTTCTAACTAGCAGTTTAAAGAACTTCGGTACACTGATATTTGGTAAACTATATTCTCCCATTCAATCGATAAAATCTGTTGAGTCTTTGCTAGATGCTTAATACTGTGCTGGAAACAGAATATAAAGCCAGAAAAGAGTCCCTCTGAGGGCTCAACCTACCATAGTCAGATAGACTTAACTTGCTCCCGCCAGCTTGAACCACCACGGGTACATGAACGACTGTCCTATTGAGCTTCTTGGACCACTGATGGTACAAATGGATCTAATTGCTTTTTTATTTTTGGTACCGGGGATCGAACTCGGGTCCTTGCGCTTGCGCAGCAGGTGGCAAAACCACTGAGCTAAATCCCCAGCCCTAGCTTTTATCAGTCTTTTTACTAATAAAATCAATAAAAAGTGTATAAATGGACTGAATCTAGTTAGTTGCTTGAATTTGAATAATTACTGTCCAAATATAAATATTAATACTATTCATACCAATTAAAATTATTACAATGATCAACACATTTATTCATCTCATTAAATTAAAAGAAATTTTTATATATTTGTGAATTTCTTTAAAGCATTTTAGCTGGGGATTTAGCTCAGTGGTTCCACCCCCTGCTCTGCAAGCGCAAGGACCTGAGTTCAATCCCCGGTATCAAAAAAATAAAATAAAAATTTAAAATAAAACATTTTATACATAAAGGTGGCTGATCTGTGCAGAGTGTGCAAAACATCATTAACACATTTGGCTTTTTTTTGTGGCCACAGCAACACCTATTTTTTCAGATAGTTTTTGATATCATTCTCTATATTGCTTGTATCTGTTTCTTGCCAATCCTAAATAAACTTCTATAAAGTGAATTTTTTTTCAAGTAATTTGCACCTATGCCATTTCTTCACAGTTTAGTAGTTTGCCTATAATTAATTCTCTCAATTTTAACGTGGATATCTTGCAAGTACCCCATTGCTGGTATATATAATATGCATTTACAACTGCTGCACTGCAAATTAACTGTTTTATAATTTTTCCTGCCATTTTAATGTTTTCCTTAAGGAACTGTAATATGATGATATCTGGTCTGCTAATATACTTTTCTTTGCGTTACTGTAATCAAAGACAAGATCAGGTTTTATATTACCGGGTTTTCCTTCAATCGATGTATATGTATGATTTTTACAAGTAGTTGACATACAAGCAGTTCTTTTATCAGGCCATTTAAAAAGTTTTATACTAGAAGAATTTTCAGAGTTTATGATTTTGCCACATTTTTGCTTTGTCTTTGCTTGTACTGGTAAAAAATATTCAATTTGGCTGTACTGTGCTGCAAAAATAAGTTTCTCTTTGTAAAAATTCTTGTGCTGGGATATATTTGAATAATAACTATCTGCATATCTGTGCAGTGTTTAAATAATAAGCTGTTCATTAATTTCAAAACATCATAAGAAAGGGCTGGGGATTTAGCTCAGTGGTTTTGCCACCTGCTGCACAAGCGCAAGGACCCGAGTTCGATTCCTGGTACCAAAAAAAAAAAAATCATAAGAATACCTGTGTGCCCAAGTGTTTGCCCTTTTTCCAGCATGTAAATCATAGATGTAACCATTAGGCAAATATAATTTATGTAATTTTATCCTATATTTGTGCCATTTTTATTTGATATATTGGTGAAAATACAGATGTCCTTGCCATAAAATCATACTTTCATCTATCACTACATTTTTTCCAAGTTTTCTTGAATGTACTAAAAATTTCTTCCATGATTAAAAATTTTTTTTTCTGTACCAGGGATCAAACTCGGGACCTTGAGCTTGCAAGGTAGGTGCAGCGCCACTGAGCTAAACCCCCAGCCTCCATGATTTTAAAAATTTGTTCAAGGGATCCTCAGTTCTGCCTGTACCACTGATGGTACATTTATAGAGAAATGTAAACAGTTCAAAATAGCCAAAAATCAAGCACAATACATGATATTCTTTATATGCCCATTGGCATGCATATTATTTTCAGATCAATACACTCTAATATCTGGTACTATCCTCATAATTAATATACCTATAAAAATTTCATCCTGCTAATTGTAACAGATTCCCAGTATTGGTGATATTTTCTTCTTTTTGCACCAATGCCTCATTATATGGCTCATCTATTTGTTTCTTCGACTATAATTTTGAGTACCTTATTAGATACAAATAATTTATACAACACAAAAGGATCGCTACAATTAATGTTTCTTATTACAAGTTCCACATTTCACAGTTCCATGTGTTGCGGGAATCCAGGAGACTGGAGAGACCCACCAACTGAAACAAGAGAACTTTATTTCAGGTTTAAGGTGTACAGCGGCTCAACGGACTCCTGTCCAAAGGAAGACTGTTGAACAAAGAAAGGCTATAGCTTTTATACATTGATACATATTGGTTTTTCTAGTTATGTAGCAAGTGAGTTTACCAGAACAGGTCAAGGGCAGACAATTTTGTAACTTTTCCTTGAAAGAAGACAGTGTCTTATGAATCACAGGAGAACAGTGTCCCAAACTTTGTTTGCAGGACGTAATTGTCAGTTTCATCTGTACCAGAACAAGGAGTTACGGATGCAGGGAGGGAAGTGATGGGGGTGGGGGGGCTGCCCAAGGCTGGGAAGGGCTTGTTTTTCTTTAAGACTTACTTCACATGTGCTCATGTCCTATGTTTCTTTCTATTATCAGCTACCATTCTTCTTTTTGATCTTCTACCTCCATATCCAAACCTGTGCTATGTTCATTATATGTATTGGCCACAAGATTACATTCATCTAACACTAATGCATCAACATCTGACGAGTAATAGGTAGGTTGTGATCTTTTCCTCTGATAAGATATAATTACAGATCATCTGATGAATCATCCCTTTTCTGTATTTGACACGGTACTGGTAAAAACTTGTACAGAATTGAAATACTCTTAAAATTGAAAAATAAATACTACACTATATATATGTATATAAAATATATATGTATATGTATATATGTATATAAAAATTAAATATTACTTACAAAGTAAGTAATGAGTACAACCACCAAGTAATAATGAGAACAACCACCAAGGAACAACAAAGGAATAATAAAAGAAAAATTTACCACTGAGCTTACTAATAACCTAGCCATGAAATAACAATGACTATTTTTGTTTTAGTGTCTTATGTTAACAAAAGAGCATACACAGGTGGGCTGTATAACATAAGACGATCGAGTTCAAATCAGAGCCACCCAGCAGTGAGACATACAAATCAAATAACCATCTGGCAGCAAGGCCTACAAATCATGGCCCTGTCATTAACATGTTAAACCAATAATCATAGCTCAGTATGATCATCCCTATACTAACAATTGTATGGGATGTTAAGGCTGCATCTAACTATGCCCAAGGTTTGGACAATGTCATGATAAACTTCATAAAGGACATAAGGTGTGAGTATGAGAATATTTCTTGGGTCAAGGAAATGAAAAGAAACTTACACAATTAGCATAAGGTGATAAGAATTTGAAAAATCCAAAAGGAGGACAGAGATGGATGGACTTTGGAAGTAACAGAGTTGGCAGTGGGAAGACAGAGTTGGGGTCCTGTTGGGCTGGAGCCCTCTGACCCACCTTGACTGAGACATCCTTTTCTCTGCATCCCAGCTATTCCTGTGCTCCATTGTTGAGACCTGCCCCCTACACCACAATGAGTCCCTCCCCAGCCCAAGTGTAGGCAATGGGATGTATTTGTGCCCACTCTAAATAAGTAGAGTGGAATCTGCGCACAAGTGAACACATGCACAGTGAAAGTAGTACACAGTCTGTGTTCAATAAACCTAAAGAAATCGATCCCTGGCAAACTGGAGGAGGACAATAACTAGACGGGATCTTTGTGAGAACTCCAATAAACTGGTTACTGGGGATTTTTATCCCAACCTGTGCACCCTTAGTAAAGCTTCTAGCATGTGGGCTCCTTGTTCTGGCCTTTGGGTTCCCTAGTGTCCAACTAGAAGGGGCCACCTGAGGTCTAGGCAGGCCCTTGAGGGTTGGGAGTCACTTGTGAATCCTTTTGGAGACATTCAGTCCTGCTTGCAAATCAATTTCTTTTTCCCCTTCCTGCTTCCTTCTCTGCATTCCTCAGAGCAATCTCACACCTGAAAGGAGGAGGTGGAAATGTTCTCCCTAGGCTGTGGACTAATGTTCCTCCCTCCCTTTCCCTTTAAGTCTGAGATCAGAGAGGACCAGTGGGACTGACAGTATTCCTAGTTCTGTGAAGGCAGGGTTACTGGGACATGAAGTCCTAGAAACCTCTGATGGAATCTGGGACAGCTGATCATCTAAAATTATCTTGAAATTACTGAATTCTTTCCTGTTCCTCCCTAAGTGGGGTACTCACCAACACATTCTAATGCTATTTAGAATCAGTAAGCTTTTGTTCAGGGAGAACTCTGTTCCAAGTTTCTCAAACTTCTTTTTTTATTTCAAAATATACCTGTTAGTAAATCCTTTAAGAAAAGTCCTTGTCAACTTCAAAATAAACACAAAACACTATAAAACACCTTATCCAGTCTCCCCATTGGAATTTAATGGGTCTGTCTGCTGTGTGCTTTATAATCACCTCTATGTTCAATGTAACACTTCTTGGGTTCACTCTTGTTTGTCTTCCCCCTTGAGTATAAACCCCTGTGGGCAGGATTTAGCTCTTGCTCATCTCTGCTTCTTCTGCTTGACCTAGGCCAAGGCTTAGCTCACAGCCCACATAGGGCCCTGCCTGGGTCCCTACTTGCTTTCCTCTCTCACCCCCGGGGCTGCAGATTCTGGGTCCTTGGGCACAGGCCCAAGGAGGTTCAGGTGTCTGACCGCACAGCCCATTAAAAGCAGAATCAGGTCCATTAGAATATAAACTCCATAAGGGCTGGGCCCTGATTATCTTGTAAGACCGAGGGCCTTACCAAACGCTCCAAGGAGCTGACTATAGTGAAGCACACCCAGGGATCCCAGCGGTGCCTCCAGAATGCAAGGCCAAGGGCCTTACCAAATGCTCCAAGGAGCTGCAGTGGAGCACACCCGAGGATCCCAGTGGTGCCTTCAGAATGTAAGACCAAGGCCTTACCAAACGCTCCAAGGAGCTAGCTACAGCGAGGACCACCCGGGAAGGAACACACCGGCCATGTTGGAAAACAGACCTTTATTAGTCTGGCCAGACGGCACTCCCGAAGCAAAATAGCTCAGAGAGGCCCCTGGCTCAGAGTCCGAGGTTGTTTTATAGGGGGTTAAGGGGGGGGGGGGTTAACATGTGGATTCACAGAAAAAAAAAAAGAACAAAGGTTAGTGGCTCATTGTCACATGCTGATGTTCAGCAGACATCCTGACTGACAGTTACAACCACCCTGTTTACAGATTGTCCTATAGATACTGGGCCCCCGGGACATTTGGATTTAGGGCAAACAGATGGCTGAGTAACCTCGCCCTATTACTGATTGTCCATTGTCCCAAGGCAAACACACTCCAACCATCAAATTTACAACAGAATCTAGGGGAGTAATTAACTTTTGAATCACACAGTCCCACATCTGGCTCTAGGCTGTGACCCCAGGGCTAGCAAAGTGCCCGCCACCTAATAAACTCTCTGTAAGCCTTGGTTGAATAAATGAGTGATGAATGGGTGGTATGATGGATAGGTAGGTGGATGGATGGACATACTGTAGATAGGTAAGTTAATTAGATATCTTGTAGGCCCTAGGCAGTTGGACAGGGCTGGCCTTCAAGGAGCCAACATGGAGGACAATCAAGACTCATTCACTGAAAGCCAGCATTGTAAAAGAAGAGAAGCCACCACACCATTGTGCTTCCCCTAAGGATGAATAGCAGTGATTGATATTATAAATAGGTATCAATCACCTGGGTGGGGGACAAAGATCTTCCAAGAAAGATCCCTGACTTATCCCTTACCACTGAAAATCCTTGCTCATTCCTTTTACACTTTCTACGTGACTCGTTTCCCCATTGGATCCCCGTTTAATCATCATTACCTAAGCGGCAATGCTTGTCATAATCTTATTGGTTGTTCATAGTTTTGTCCACCTCGTGATTTCTCATTGGATCTATATTACTAAGTGCCTGTACTTGTAATCTCACCAGTTGACTGTAGTTTTGTCCCACCTTGAACCTGCCTCACCTCATGGCTTTGTCCCATAAAACACCTTTGAGAAGTTGGGTGAGCGGGTAACCCACTTTCCAGTCCCCTTTCTGTCTCTCTTAGAAAGAAGCTATCTTTCAATAAATTTTCCTACTCTTAACCTTCATTGTTCCTAGAATTCATCCTTTGGTTTTAGAGAACACGAACTCACATTTCGGATGCCTAGCAGGTTTGGGAGTTACAGCTCTTCCTTCTGTCTACATCAGGTGGACAGATGGATGGATGGATGGATAAATGCAGTCACAATTGCTGGAAACCAAAATTTTATCTTCTATTCAAATTGCTTAGCTGAACTTATTTTTATCCTCCCTGCATTCTAGACATCTGCTTATAGACTTTTCTCATCTACAAGAGCCCTGGCATTTTTAGCTTTGCCTTCCTCAGATTTCTCATTGCCATGCTTTGTCACTTTCTGGCCTAATCTTGCACTTTAAGTGTTGCATGTCTGCTTGGCCTCTTTCATGAGGTCAACACACTATTTGAACACATATTTAACTCCTCAGAATGATCCTTTCATTTATTGTTCCCCATCCCTTCCTGTGATGACCCTATCAATAACTTTGACACAGTCACAGTCTTCTATGCTGCTCAGTAAATACAGATTAACTGAATTGTATTATTTGGTCTTTGTCTTCAATCACCAGGTAAATAGGAGAAACTTGATCAGTTTTTGCTTCTGCCATAATGCTTGTATTACTCCAATGGCACCAAAAACTAAGACCACTCATCTATTGTATGCCAGGCACTGTAGGATGTTTTCTCCAAACCGCACATTGACGTTATTCTTAAAATATGAAAGCTTTCCTACTTTACTAAGTTCATTTAACACTGCTTATATTATTACGTAGTTTTGTGCCCCACAAAATTATTTGACAAAGTCAATTCATAATATTTTTTCTGGGATAGGAATAGATAAATCAAAATAACTACAATTAATATTGGTGAGTGACAATCAAAAAATGGCCAACTACTGGGATTTAGCTCAGTGGTTCCGCTGCCTGCCTTGCAAGCACAAGATCCCGAGTTTGAGCCATGGTACCACCCCCCCCCCACACACAAAATGGCTAACTAAAATGAATAGACACTTGTCAGTAGAAGAAGTAGAAATGGCCAATAAATATGTGGAAATAATATTCAACATCTCAGGTCACTAGAGAAATGCAAATCAAAACAACACTGAGATTCCATCTTACTCCAGAAAGAATGACTTTTATCAAGAAATCAAATACTGTATTAACAAATGCTAGCAAGGCTGTGGAGAGAAAGGAACCCTTCTCCATTGTTGGTGGGAGTTCAGACTGGTGCAACCACTATGGAAATCAGTGTGGAGATTCCTTAAAAAACTAAAAATAGAAATTTCACTGGACCCAGCTATTCCCTTTCTAGGTATCTTCCCAAAAGAGTTAAGACATCATATTACATGCATACCCATGTCTACAGCAGCATAACTTAGTAGCTAAATCTTGGAAGCACCCTATATGTCCATGGACAGATGAATGGATAAAGAAAATGAAGTATTTATATATAATAGAATACTACTCTTCCATAAACAAGGATAAATTTGAGTCATAACATTATGAGACCATAGTGTTAAGTGAAATAAATCAGATGTACAAGCTTAAATATTACATGGTTTCTCTTATATGAGAAACTCAAAATATAAATAAATTAAAGAACAGGGCCAGAGATTTAGCTCAGGGGTTTCACCGCCTGCTACGCAAGCGCAAGGACCCGAGTTCAATCTCCAGTACAAAAAAAAAAGTAACATTGGGCTGGGGATTTAGCTCAGTGGTTCGGCCACCTGCCTTGCAAGTGGGAAGTTCTGAGTTTGATCCCTAGTACCAAAAAAAAAGGAACAAAATAAAAGATAGACAATAGGAAACAGGGAGATAGATCTTTTGTAAAAGGAAGGGGGACCAAGAGATATAAGGAGGGGGAAGGAGTGGAGGGGAATGGAAAGAAAAAAGAATTAAAGTGTTTTATGTATATGTACCAACTCCCCATGAGGAATACAATCACTATGTACTAATAAAAATTAAAATAAAAAGAAATAATCTTGGGTGATTAGTTTTTTCACTATTAACAAAGTCATAATTGACTGATACACAAGTACATTTGTAGGGGACCAGGGAAAGTGTACACTAATCTGTAAACAGACTCATATGCTTAGGGAGGGGTGCAGGGCATATTTGTCTAGTTAGACATGAAGGTTTACCATTAACTAAATGCTTCGCTGGCATCCATGCTATGTTGTTTAACAGGCAGTGTGTGGGAAGCTGAATCTTACAAGGAACTGTTTGTCTCCTGAATTCCAGGAAGTCAGAACCTGAGGGGGAGGGTATGTGCCTGTTGAGGGTTTATGGGTATAGCACACTGGTAATTGGGTGGTTGGCAAATGCGCTTGCTCAAATAACTCCAAAGGTCTGCCCATGGATAAGATGTAGAGCTCCTTGCTGGCATCCACTCCAGCTCTCTCGGGCGTCTTAATACCACTGTTGGCAGACATCACTGGGAGTTGTACGCCTCGGCTTAGCACGGTTCAGAAGTCTGGCTGCTGCTTCTCCTGAGCCTCTGAGATCAGAACATTTTTCCCTGCCCACAGCGGAGAAAAGTTTACAACTGCTTGGGTAGGGGGCTCCTTTTCTATAAGCTGTGTATTTCTAAGGAGCAGCTGTGGTAATCAAGCTGCATATTTTCTTCCAGGTGAGTTGCAATGAATCGGCTCCTGAAGGAGAAGCAGGAACACACTGGGCCCCACAGGTGGGGAATGGCACTGCCTTCCATTCACTGCCTCCTTCTGATGGGTGCACTGGGCATCTTTGTACTGGACTGTTTCACCAAAGGTCAGAAGAACAGCACGCTAATTTTCACGAAGGAAAACACCATTCGGAACTGCAGCTGCTCTGCAGACATCCGGGACTGTGACTACACTTTGGCCAACCTGATGTGCAGCTGTAAAACTGTCCTGCCTTTTGCAGTGCAGCGAACCAGCTACAATGGCCATCTGACCATCTGGTTCACAGACTCATCAGTGCTGGGCCGCCTGTTGAACTTCACACTGGTTCAGGACCTGAAGCTTTCTCTGTGTAGTTCCAACACCCTCCCCACTGAGTACCTGGCTATCTGTGGGCTGAAGAGGCTTCGCATCAGTACAGAGGCCAAGTTCGCTTTCCAGGAGCAGAGCTTACTCATCCATAGTGGTGGGGACAGCGACTCCCAAGGGATGGCCACGTGGTCACACAAAGGCTGGCAAACATGTATGTATATTTCATTCTTAGATGTGGCTCTTTTCAACAGGGACTCATCCTTAAAATCATATAGTATTGAAAACATTGTCAGCATTGCCAATGACTTGCCGGACTTTTCTTACTTTAAAGCCTTCCCAATGCCAAACAACAAAAGCTATGTTGTCACTGTCATTTACTAATATTGTCACTGTGTCCCACAGCTGGGAACCTTGGCAAGAGACACACCATTTAAATGAGTAGTCTGGGAACAAGGCCATCAGACAGGTAACCCTACTCCCAGCTCAGCCTCTGTCCCTAGCCCCCCATTTGCAACCGAGCTATTCCTACAAATAGCTAGCTCTCTCTGCTCTACTCTATGCTCAATCTTGGGAGCTATGTTGAAAAGGAAAGTAAAAAGAAACCCTAAACAAAGGATTCGGTCTGGAGGCATGTCTTGAGAATCTGCTAGAGGCTAGAGCTTTGCAACCAGGAGCCTGTGAAGAGATGTCAGTTCAGAAGTTGAAAAAGCTGGAGTTTGCAAGGTATCTTCTTTCAAAATATAGCTGCCCCTTCTTATACATTCCAAGGCCCCCAGTGAATGCCTGAAACAGCAGATAGTACTAAACCCTACATATGCTGGGGGGGGGGGTTCCTACACTACCTATGATAATGTTTAATTTGTAAGTTAGGTAAACTGAGACTAATAACAATCATTACTAATAGAATAATTATAATAATATTTGTAATAGAAGTTATGCAAATGTACTTTCTCTCTCTCAAAATATCTGTTTTTGTACTGTACTCACCCTTCTTAGAATGATCTGAGATGATACTTATTAGAAGCACTTTATGGTGGGACACCATGAAATTTAAAACTTATAAATTGTCTTTTTCTGAAATTTTCTATTTAATATTTTCAGGCAGTGGTTGACCACTAGTAACTAAAACTTTTTGGGGGGGGAAACTGTGGGTAAGGGGGGAAATACTGCAATGGTGTAACTTTTTCTGCTTCATCTTGTGACATTGTCTGGAATTCCCCCAAGTCAGAAATGATAGATTTCAGAGGTTATGGGAATTCCACAAAATGACTAGGCTGTCTGAGAGTGATATCTTCCAAATACCTTGCTAAGAATAGGTGCACTGAGAAAAGGGAGTTTTGAGATTATGTTTATGGAGGGTGGGAGGAATTAGAACAGGCTGGGATTGGGAGGGACCTTAGAACCAAATGAAGGCACAAGGGTTCAGGAGAGAGGGGCGTGGAGGTGATAATCAGTTGATGTATCAATTGCATATATTGTATCTCCAAATTTTGCTTAGAGTGCTGCCTAACCCCAGGGAACATTTTCTTCTAGTCCTTCTCTGTCATTTCCTCCTCTTTCTTTGCATCTCCTACCTTTATGCTCACTATCCTACTTCTTGTATTTCTCTTCTCATTTTCCTTTTCCTTCTGTTTCTTTTCTTCTTGCTCTAGAAATTAAAATTTAGATTAAAATCAGTAGAACTGTTAAACTACATTAAGGACTAGCCTGGGAATCTAAAAATCACTTATCATATTCTCACGGTAAAGGTGCTCAGGTGCTTAATTTACTAACAAATAATTCATTTTTTTGTAGTGCTGAGGACTGAACTTCATGCATGCTAGGCATGGATTCTAACACTGAGCTACATTCCCAGGCCTTAGTAAACTTCTTTTTAGAAGAGATAATTAATAAAGGAACTTCTTTTCTGGTACCAGGGATCGAACTCACGACCTTGCGCTTGTGAGTCAGGCATGGCGCCACTGAGCTAAATCCCCAGCCCAATAAAAGAACTTCTAGAGCTCAGTTAAGTTTAAGATTGGAAAATTAGGACACTTTATATGGCATGGCTAACACAAATGTGTTATAAAAGATGTTATAAAAGAAACCAAAGCAATACAGTTTTTTAAAAATTGAATTGGTTCAGCATTGTACAAAGAAAAGATCCCCTCATAAAGACCCAACTTTCCATTATAGTGGGATGACAATTGTGGTACAAATGTCTAACTCAGAATGCATTACTCCATTCATGATAGCATAATGACAAAAAGTTTTACTATGAAATAACAGGATGTCCCAGGTTGGTCACTTTCATTATACATCACATTCATCACATTTTACCTCTTAACCTTAACACAGGATAATTGAAATAACCTAAAATGTATGCATTTGCTTAATTGGTGGGGGATTTGGCCATTCAGGCTAATTAGCATGAATCCATAATGTCAGTGTTTAAATTAGGTCAAACCAAAGACCAAAGTATGAATTTTAATAGAAAACTGTAATGACCTCATTATTGATATTGTACTTTAGAGGTAACATTAAAGTTACAGTAAAAGACAAAGAAAGAGGAAAAGGGAGGAGAAAAATGCAAGGATGATTCAAGTGAAAAAATAAACATATATTTACTATCTGAATTTCAATGTTTTTAAATTAATAATGTATAAAATTAAATGATGTTAGTAATTATGTGCAATATACATATATCTATATCTATCTTCCATTTGGTAGTTTAGTAATAGTGTCAAAGTCTTTTCACAAATGTTTTGTGTGATTCTTATGACAAATCATTGTGGGTCAATGAGATTTAAACCAATAAAAGATGAAAGCTCATTTAGTTATAAATCTAATCTTGGGTTTCCAGATCTGGATTAAAAATGTGGTTCGTATTGTACTGTTATAGGATAAATAATAGAAAATCCAGTGCACAGACATGGAGATCAAAGACATCTGAACTCAGCTGCAGGGTGGGGACATGGCAGGGAGTGATGGGGTGGTGTAAACCATGGTGTTCCTACAGGGTGCCCAGAGCATCCTCAGTGGCTCAGCTCCAGCTGAGTGCTAATGTGGGACAAGAGCATAGGTCCAAATTTGATGCTTCAAGAGAATTAGGAATTCCTGCTTTTTATGTGAAGCCTTGCAATTTGCAAATGTTGGCATGCCCTTGTCTGTTTTCAATAACATCATGTCAGTCAAAAAACTATGCCAGTGATCCCATCTGGCCTGGGGCTGGTAGTTTGTCACCTCTGGTCAGAAGTGTGCTGGTTAAACTTAACTGTCAACTTGATGGGGCTGAGACACACCTATTAGATTAGTGAGGCACACTTCTGGAATGTCTAGGTGGCACATAATACTGTGTCTGGTCCCTGGCCCCTTCCTCTCTGTTTCTGTTTCCCTGCTCTGCTACCTAGCCACCTATAAACTAAGCATCTTTGCTCCACACACTCCTCCATCATGATGATCCTTCCTTGAAGCCAAATGATTATGGACTGCATTCTCTGACACCATGAGCCAAATAAATCTCTCCTCCTTTAAGTTGTCGCTGTTGGGTAATTTTCCCAGGCATGAGTAAGTTACTACAGCTGGTAAAAGTTTAACCGCTGCCTCTTCAAAAAAAAGTAAATAAAATTTGCTGATATAAAGTATAACATATGTATTATTTATTTCAAATTATATATACATAATTAATTCTCAAAGGATGTTTTGATTAATTTTTGCCAAGTTTTTGCATCCAGAGCCAACCTAAGTTTGCACCTGATTGATATTTTCATTTATTTTAGGAGTAAGAGGAGAGTTAAACAACAAAGATAGGTAGGGGAACATTATTAAGTCAGTGATATAAGCAACTTCTTTACTAGATCAAATGATAGCTTTCCAATACTGGAGAGATGTTTGTTTCCTCAATATTGGGAACCACTTACGATGCAAGAGCTTCAGAAACAATGCTTTTTGTGTGGTGCTGGGGATTGAACCCAGGGAATTCTATCACTGATCTACATCACCAGACCTTTTTATTTTATATTTTAAAATTTTGAAGCAAAGACTTGCAAAGTTGCTCATGCTGGCCTAGGTAGGTGGGATCCACCTACCTCAGCTTCCTGAGGGCTAAGATTACCGGTGTGCACCACCACAACTGGTAGGAACAATACATTGGCAAATTTAATTGCATTTCTCTATCACACCCAACAAAATAATAGATCAGACTGTGATATGTAGCGTTTCAATGTCAGTGGTATAAATATTGCCACCATAACCAACTTCAAGCCACTGAGAGAACACACAACTGAGAAAAGATTCACAGGACATCATTAGATAGCAAGTCCATCTTACCAAAGTAATGGGCACAAGTAACCTGAGGAGCATGAGTAAAAGTACAAAGTAGCAAAATAACGAGGAAGCCATGAGTTCTGAATATTTATCTTTGTTTTTGTTATAATTTATTTAATTGTAAATTTATATAATTTAATTCTTAATAATGATCACACTTAACAACCAGCTTGCAAAATTTCCAAATATTTAACAGTGAGCGCTCAGGAGCTGGGAAAAATCCATGCCAGCACTCACTGACTCTGGGAGAAAGCAATGCTGAAGGAACTGCGGAGGGCCATGAGCCATGGGGGTGCAGGGTCACTTGCAGTTTGGAGAGGCCCATTTCCTCCCCAGCCTTACCACAGGTGGAAACGTCAGGGTTCTGCACTCACCTTAGTGAGCAGCCCACCCTGACATGAAGACTTGCGACCCTGAAGTCCCTAAGATAGAAGATGGTGAGGTTGAGGAATTTAAGAGAAAAATGATTTAGTGCTTAGAACTTGAATTAACCTTTGAAAGTCCCCCAAAGGAAGAAGGGAATAAAGGAATGAAGAAATATATGAAGAACATTTTATACACAGTAGGTTGGCAAATACAGGAATCAGACAGTTTCCATTTCCCATACTTTCTTACTAATAATTTTAGGACCTCCCTTTGTCCAGAATTTACAGGAGGATGTTTGTATATCTGATTTAATTTGTTACAGGAGATAGGATGTGATGACATAGATCTGTTTAATGAATTTAGATTTGAACAGAGTCTGTAGTCACAACTCAACGGTGCATGAGGTCATGTTTGCCCAGTTGGACTCTACAAAAGCAATGAGAGTCCCTAAAGAGAGGAGAGCTGATCATAAAGCTCCATTGACTTAAATGGTACAGGTACATCAGTATGTCAGTTAGTGAAACTTTACTTAACCGTTCACTTATAAAAAGTACTCTTTTGTGATAGAGTTCTCTACCAGACAAAATGACCCGAACAGTCCTATATTCTAAAATAGCTCCCCTTCCTAAAATGGTTCCCGCTTATGGAAATGAGCCACGTAGGAAAAGTGAAACCTACCCCCTCTGGAGAGGCAAAACCTAACTTGTTGCTCCACCCTGCTACCCACGTGATCCTCCCCTTCCAATCACCCGTCGTCCTGTTGCTCAACTCTCAAAATACTCTCCCCACGGCACCACTCTATATAAACCTCACCCCAGTTTGTCTTCCCCTCTCTTGCCATTGTTCGGGGCAGCCTGGCAGCTCCTTCTGCAATAAGGTCCTGCCTCAGGTATTCCTGGTTCGGCTTGTTTTTTCATTCTGTGTGCATGTTGTACTTCAGTAGTTTTTAAAAGAGAACAATAAATATCATATTGACAAATGTGAACACTTTATCACATTTAATTGCAAAGAAATTGAGGTCCGTAATAAATTTGTTGTTGGTAGTAGTATTGGTACCATTTCTGAATCTGTTTTGTTTACATTGTAAGATTGTGTAAAAGTCAACATAGTGAAGTTCTGGGGGGAGCCAGGGTTCTAACTAGAAAATACGAACAGAGGGGAAGAGTATTGGATTGGAACTAAAAGTGTTAGTACAAACTCTTGAATTTTTATTAGTGCATTTTAATTACACAGAATAATAGGTTTCATTCTGGCATTTTCATAATGCATATAACATACTTTTATTGTAGATAGGTAAGTTAATTGGATATCTTGTACGCAGTTAGACAGGGCCAGCCCACAAGGAGCCAACACCGAAGAGAGAAGAGAGTGAAGACATCTACTGAAGGGCAGCATTGTAAAAGGAGAGAAATTAGCACACCCATGTAGGATGAAGAGCAGTGATTGCTATTCTAAACAGGTATCAATCACCTGGGTGGGGGCCAAGGCTTTAACCCAGCCTCTCCAGGAAATATCCCTAACTACCCTTACAGAAAATCCTTGTATGCTTGTTACATGACTTGCTCCCCCATTTGACCCCCATTTAATCAATATTACCTGGTGACTGTACTTGTAATCTTACTGGTTGGTCGTGGTTTTGTCCCACCTCGTGCCCTCTTGTAAATTTCCATTAGGGCTTATGGTTTTGTCCCACTTTGTACCTGCCTCACCACATGGCATGGCTGTATAAGACATCTTTGAGAAGTGGGTTGGCAGGTGCCCACTTTCCGGTCCCCCTTCTGCCTCTCTTAGACAGAAGCTTTCTCCCGATAAATTTTTCCTACTCTTAACCTTTGTTGTTCCTAGAATTCATTCTTTGATTTTAGAGAACATGAACTTGCGTTTCAGATATCTAGTAGGTTTGGGAGTCACATCTCTTCCCCCTATATCACTTTGATCATATCCACTTCCGATTTTGCTCTCCTCATCTTTCTCTTCTCCAATAACAAAATCATGATTTTTAAAAAACAGATGTTTTAGCTTTATCCACAGAGAAGGTCTAGAAGAAATGACAAATGACAAAGAGAATATTCAACACCTAAATTTTGCCATTCTCTATTAAAACAAACAAACAGGGCTGGGGATTTAGCTCAGTGGTTCTGCCACCTGCCTCACAAGCGCAAGAACCGGAGTTCCATTCCAGGTACCCAAAACAAACAAACAAACAAAAATAGAGCCTTGAAGAAATGGCTGATCACAGGGGCTGGAGCAGCAAAACATAACGTGAGCCTGGGGCATCTTACAGTGACAGAAAGTAAGAAAAGCCCCAAAAGTTGATGGGGACATATCAAAAGGATACATGGGCCAGCTTAAAGGAGCCCACTGGCCAAATCAGGGACAATGTAAACATTAAAATAATCAACTGTGGAAATGGATTATAGCATATTGCATTTGAAAAGGATTCCATGAATCTGTACTGTCACTAAAAAAGGGATTAAAAAAAAATTGTAAGGGGCAAAAGAAAATTCTGCTGTACAGAAGAAAGGCTATTAATAAATCTAGGAGCAATAATAGAGATACCAAGTCACCACATTCAAATGCCACAATAATAAGAAAATCAGGAAAGAGTCTTTCATGGAAGCTAAACTGACTGGAAGAAATACTAGGGATATTCACATGGCCTAAAAGTAATGTTATTCTACACATTACTTATTAATTGCAAATGTCATCCTTACTATGCAGAAACGTCTATAACTGAGTGATTAAACAACTGAGTGATTAAATTTATCATGGAACAAATGTGCTGCCCACTGTGATGCTCTGAGGACATATTATCTAGATACAAAAAATTTCTGCAAAAAAGTGTCAAATGTGCATCTAATCCAAATCTAAACTAAGGAACATTCTTAAAAAAAATAAAAGAAAACAAAAATTGACCTGGATGCTTCAAAATCCTCAAGTCATGAAAATCAGAAGATAAAAAAGGGAGGCCATGGGGAAAACCCTTCTTGAACAAAGGAGAATAAATACCCATGATGACTAAATTTCTAGATCATAGATTGTGGGGAAAAACAACAACTATGAAGGTTTGAAAGACATTTTCAAGACAACTAGGGGAGGGGAAATTTGGATATTAGATAATAGTGTATTAAAGAGTTAAATTTCTTGAGTGTGATAACTGCATTATGGTTATACAGGGGAATACCCTTCTTGGGATATACTCACTGAAGTACATAGGAGTACACACATGTGTCCACATGTAACTATAATGACTCAGCAAAGAAAGGAAGAGACAAAGCAAAGCAGCATAATACTAACAGTGATGAATCTAGGGAAAGGGTATATGAATGTTCATTGTACTATTCTTGGTTCCTTTTTGATTGACACATGATTGTACATTTTTATGAAATACAAAGTGATACTTCCATGTATGTATATACATTGTGCATTGATCAAATTAGGGAGATAATAGGAAGAGAGGATCTTGCTTTTTTATGTATTTCATTTTTCCAAAATAAGTAGTTGGTGGGAAGAATGAGGCATATTTATATAAACTTAGATGGAAAGATTTCAAAATACCAAACTGAAAAGAAAATGCAAGTTATAAAAGGACACATAGAGTAAGATACTATTTAGTTAAAAAATACATAGAACACTATCAGCTAGATGATCACGATGATGAAGATAGATAGATAGATGTTGTATCAGTGGTGGAAACAAAACATTCTAGTTATTTTGAGCATAGAATGATTAAACACAAGCAATCAGTTGCTTGGAAAATCTCAAGAGGAGCAGAAGAACTGGGGGAGAGGAAATTGGAGTTGGCCACTGCACTAAGTGGCTGGGTATGGTGCTCCTTGCACCAGAAATCAGTACGCTGATACTGCTATATACATAGTAGCTAATGCTGTCACCACCAGCCCTGCCTTCTGACACCAAAGCTGGGGTCCTGGACACTAAATGCTAATGAAGCATT